GTGGCTGAATGGTATACGAGCTTGCCTTGTAACCGGAAGGTCCTAGTTTCGAACCGTGGCAGCTGGTGCGTACTGCCAATGATTCCCGAACTAGCTGGATGAAAAAGCTGTCCAGTACTCCCTGGTTTCCAGTTGTTCAGTAAATTAAATGCAATACTGTACCAAATGCTGAGAATATCACACAGTATCATACGTTCCGCTTTGAAACAAAGCAAGTTATTATTATCATCCGTCGTGTATGATTGTTTCTTTAAGGTGAATTTGTAATATGGCGACGTAAAGATTATCTTTCAGTTTCATTTTGAAACATGGAAAGTGTCAGTGCTGATGAACACTGAACTGGTCTCTATTTGTCGAGAGACAAGAAGGCTGTCCTTGTTCTATTGTGTAATTATTGGCAGAAGACTGAAGAAATACGATAAGAATTATTGTTGTATATTATATTGACGCTTATTTACAGTTTTCGGTGCTGATTAACCATTGTAAATCTGCTTCGTTATCGTTTGAAGAATAAACAATCGTACCAACCCACCGTATTCTGTTGTTCACCATCGGTCACAGTGCATAGTATTCTGCGTATTAGGCTAAGTCTTCCAAAACCAACGATAGGTCCAGGCTCCTCGCTTTCTGGATATTTGACAGGGAGTATGGATAAGAATGTCAAAATGGACAATGAAGACAGGCATCCGTATTCTGAAATCAGTGTGAAAATTTGTAGCACTTCGTATACGAACATGATCTACATTTTTAACACTATTGTTCATCAGGTGATTGCTGTTGTATACTTTGAAAATTTGATGCATGAATCGTCGAAAGTACTTGCTTACTTCAGATAGTTTAGAGAGGACAGCTATTGACAAAGGACGACCAACAAGGGACTTTGGCAGCGAACTATCATTCAGTCTTTTTATCACTCAACTAACATGTAAAACGAAGTGGAAGTGGATCGCAGATACGCTGATGAGAAGACTGAACGAAAACACACATACACACAATGCCATTGAGTGGAACGGCAGTCGGAAGCAAATAGGTGGGTATCAGTGTAGGTATTCATGTGCCCAGCCAGTTAGAAGCGACAGTAAAGAACCAAATCCATTAATAGTGGTCTTCTGAAGCTCTCTGTTCAATTTGGAAAGCGGTGGTTGAATATTAACAATTGTGGGGTGGTTTTCAGACACTAAGTTCTCACTAAATAAATTTCGTAACTTTCCAACGGGTCAAATTTACTCCTACTTTGTTGATGCCCTTACAAAGAATAAAAGAAGGCCTTGTCTACTAAAAATAAAATTAACTATTTCCGTAGTAAATACTCTGATTCGATAGTTTATCCTAGTTTCATTCTGAAATAAAAAAATGTATGACAGTGTTTATATTATCAAGAGTACAAATAAAATTCGGGATTTAACAGGAACTTCCAGTTGCCACCGTTCGCTAGATGGAAATTACTCGTGTTAACCACTACAGCGTACCATTTGGTGGTAACACTCCTCTGGGATGTCTAGCAGGCTTCAATTGTTGATATAATGTATCGTGTTTTGAAGTGTTTTGACCAAAATTTGATACATCAGCCATAAATTCAAGTGCATCAGCATATTTTCAAGTGAAGTAGGCGTTGTTATTCTTCTGAACATATTTTTTCCAATATTTACTAAACATATTTTGCGTATAATCATGAGAGCAATCATAGTAATAATATTTATTATTTCCTTGTATTATAAGTCGGTTGAGTGGGAAAAAAGTAACAGAATTGTTTCTTTTCACCTCAGTTAAATCCATCCTTGACCGAGAGAAAAAATAAATCCGATATGGATCATTAAAAACCTTACTCAGCAAGCCTCGAAGGTCACTGAAGATATACTTATTGCTGTTTAAGTGTTATGTATATATTTGAGGTTATCCTATTGAAATTTGTTACAAAAACAATAGATTATACAGAGTGTTTTCAGATGCTTCTACTATTGTCTTATTTTATTTGACAGTATATGACAAGTGTTAGACTATAACGTTGTATTATGACGTTTTTATTGGTTGGAGGTTATCAGCGAATGCAATATATATATATATATATGTTTATTCATAACTATATATATATGTATATCACCGAATCCTTCGACGTGAAGACGGGAGTAAGACAAGGCCGGCTGGCTTGTTGCCATTATCTCCAATGATTTTCCTGATTCCGGTAGACTGGATAATGTGACAGACAGCGACGAGCAGCGAGGGCACAGAAATAAAATGGACCTACACAAAAAACGTGGAGGGTATGAACTTCGCCGATGATGTATGTGTCTGATTTCCCACAAACTAGAAGATATGCAAGAGAAAAACAACCGGTTGGTGATAGAAGAAGCATCAAAGATAGGCCTTCAGATGAACATAGAAAAAACAGAAGTGGTGAATATTCCTGGCCAACAGCAGCAGATAAAAATGAGGATAAACAGGAGGAATCTGTAAGAAACAACCTGCTTTACCTACCTACCTAAGAAGCGTCGTTTCAACTACAGGCCGACGTTACTGAAGAAGATATCAAGTCAAGGATCAGGAAAGCAAAGGCAAGCTTTCAATACTATCAAATCTGTGTGGAGATCAACAGCATTTAGCATGAAAATAGAGATCCGGATTTTCAAATCCAGTATGAAGTCAGTGCTACTTTATGGATTGGAGACTTCGTGCGGCATGAAGACCTCTTCAAACAAACTACAGACGTTCATCAACCACTGTCTTCGCTCAGTACTCAAGATCAAATATCCAGAAAAGATCGGCAACAGAGGTCTCTGCGAGCAAACCAACCAGGAACCAATTGTGCAAACAAATTCGCAGGAAGAAATGAAGGTGGATTGGCCATACTGTGAGAGAAAAAACCATCATCAATTGACACACATCAAATGCTAGGCCATCGCTCTAGTGGAACCCAAATGAGAAGCTGTGAGTTGGTCGTCAGTGTGAGGGTGACATGGAAGAGGTCATGTGAAGAGGAGATGAGAGTATGTTGGCAGACGTGAAGCCAGGTGAAAACGTTGACAGAGAACCGAACTGAATGGAGACGTGAGGTTGAAGCCCTTCGTTCCTGTAGGAACTAAAGTAAACCATAATATGTATAGCATATTCAGTACAACACTGAGGGCTGTAAGTAGGACTAGTGGTGTGTCTTTCACATAGCTAACTGACATTGTTATTGCTAATAGGCACTTGAATTCTTGCAATCAGTTGGCTAAAGTGTGATGCATCCGGTGTTCAGATCACTTCCATTGATGTCTGTTGACTTTTTCGCTTAACTTATTATATTAAGATCCTGAGACTTTCTTCCAACATCTATGCATCCCATGCACTATCCTAGATATTACATCGTTTGTTTGGGCACTTGATATTCAACTATGATTATGATAATCAAAGCATTTTAATTGCAATTCATACCACTGTAACTTCGTATATTCACACCGTTTGGACTTCCTCACGAGATGTGATTTCTTAAAAACCACATATATACTCTTGTACAGCTTTTTGGCAAAGCTTGATTCCTTCTCTTCCAACCCACTGATTCGTGTATTCTGTCTACTCTTCGTCATTATTCGCCCATATTACTTCCCGAACATCTCGAAAAAGACAGTATCATTTAAGGTGGAACAGTGAAGGGTGAAATTGGAGTGAGTGGTGTGCCTTTGACCCAACTTACTGACATTGTCGTTGTTCATAGACACTACAATTCTCGCAAGACGTTGAGTAAAGTGTGATCTTGTCTGATACTGAACATTCTCTAAACTTATTGGCACCTCTTTCTTTGTTTATCTTCGAGTGAAACCAGAAGAGACTTCATAAGGATTTGCGTTCATACAACTGAATATAAAAGTTCTACCAGAGCATGTCTAGCAGTGGTTTTGTGTGGAGATTGAAATGTCTTAAAAGAGCTTATACATATTTTAAATGAGTAAAGAAACCGCAAAGTATGAGGGGAGACTATAATTACATGCATTATTTATTTTTAATTGATTATGTTGCCGCCATCCATCAGATTTTTGTGGTTCGATTATTACTATGTTTTAATCTAATGTAGGTTCATATTTATAAAAACAGGTGAATTGTTGCAGCATGTACAAAAAACGCTGAAAAATCCATTCTGTACAATTATTATTCTTTGGAATAATGTGATTATGATCAGTATATATATATATACATATATATAGTTCTCATTCAAAAGGAATCTTAAATAAATTGTTTCTAGCAGGAGTCATTATTATCATTCGCTTAAGACCCGGATAGACCACAGGGATTTAACTGCATGTCACTGTTTCTTTTTATTCTATTTAACACTATTTAGCTGACGGCACGATTACCCATAAGCTGTCATTTGCCAATCACACGATCCCCCCCTAAATGACATCTCTTTGCTTTGCCGAAATTGTCGTTTTTCATTCGTGTTCAAATAGAGAGTTTATTTCAAGTAATGCATCTTATTTTCAATCCACACAGTTCTAGGTGAAATGTCACGACACAGTTTCTTTTGTAAAGCGAAATTATCAAAAGCACACGATCTGAATAGGACGTTCATTTGTTTACGCTGGTCTTTCTGGTGTTGTTGTGAGTCTGCGTATTCTATCTGAAAGACCTTGTATTAATCCTCGTTTTACCGTGAGTTGATGAGCTGAATGATAATCAAGGAATGATTCAGAGTGTGTAGTTTTTCATAATATGGTCGTTTTTATACTACCATCTGTTACTCTTTGTATTTTGCAGTCGAACAAAGGTAGTTCCCCAATTTCATTCTCTATTTCCATAGCGATTTTTATTGAGTCGCTCGAAATATTACTAAGAACAAAACTTATCATTTTGTATAAACTATTGAAATATAATTATACTTTATTTGATCTATTCCACAATGCTCAAACGTTTTACTGACATCAATGTTTACGACTCGTTTCATTATACATTCAAAGTCAGAAACAGGTTAATTATGAACAAAACAATAAAACTGAAAAAATAACAAAAGCCACGTAGCAACTCACTTGGATTTTTCGCCAAAGTCTTTGGTACCACAGGAGGTGGTGCATCAGTTTGTTTGTGTTCATTGACCTCCGGCTCAACTTTTAGCAACAATGAAAGAGGAATAGAGAGAGAGAAAGAGAATAAAATAACGGTGAATGAGCTTACACATATTGACTGAAAACGCATTTAAAACATAAAGGCATAAACATTCAGCTGGTTACATTCTTAGGGATATCTGCATCTCAGAATGTGACATAAGATTCATTAATCTAGTAAGAATAATCACGGTTTTTTAAGGCAGTGACTTTAAAAAATGGAGTTCAGAGGATTTTTATACTGGAACAAGTGTACTCCATTTTACAGATGAATTCAAAACAATGAACGCTGAGTCGTAAGAAAAAGACGTAAACAAAGCGAAGAAAATTTTCTTACTGACGATTTGTTTTCATAAACTGTTGTACAATAATCGTAAATATATTTAACAAAAAAATCACAAGATAACTAATTAGATACTGGCAAAATTTGTCCCCGAAGAACGTATTACGTAATGTAAGGTGTAACCTAGGTCGGGTGACTAACGGGGAATAAGATAAGGCGACAGAAGTTGGCGTGACATAATAAATGTGAGGAAATCACTATTCAATGTGACAATGTAGAGTGAAGAAGAACTAGTGGAGAGACGATAAAGTGTTTTTATATAAAATCTGTGTGAAAACGCTATGTTATTAATAAACAGTAGTAGAGTGATAATAAAATGAGGATGATGAGAATAAAAATAATAATAAATTAACATAATAATAGGAAGCAGAATTATGGTGAGAACGTTACTCTGAGCACCGTAGGGCGAGGGAATGTATTTGGTGCTTTCGAATGCAGAGGTCCGGTTTCAGATACCGAATAGCTAATGATTCAGCTGTGTATAGATGGCGTATTTGAAGTCCGTTTGTACGACATTGAGGGACTCTGTGTAGCATTTCTGCAGGGATGCTCAATGTCCAGAGTGGACAGGGTGTTCGAGGATGTTGCTGCTAGTATTCTTCTTTTCTCCTCTGGCTAGCTAGTATGAACAGTGTTCCAGGATGCATTTGCGGAATGAACGCTGCGTATGGCTGACATACTCTGCTCCATACGAGCAAGTCAATTGATAAGTACACACTGAAGAGGCCAAAAGCGGTTTCTTATTCCTAGCGTTAGACTGGATTAACTGTCTGCTGGAGAACGTCATATGTAAGATGGTTGCTTGAAATTTCTTCTTCAGACATTTAGAAAGGCAGTTTCTAAAAAGTTCAACTTCGATGTCATCTTCGAAGCGAGTTCTTTTCGAAACAGTTGTAATCTTTGTTGATGAATCCTGGTGGATGCCAGTTCTCTAGAAGGGTTGCACGTAATGGGTCTTAATTCCTTTTCTATCGTGTCTTCCGAACAGCTTTTTTTAATCCTTGAACTTAATGTACGTACTAGGTTTTGCTTTCAGTATTCGAAGTTATTTTAGCCAGTGGTGACTATCAGTGGAATCTCGAATGCACGCTACATCCCATTTGGTGCCTGAAATCCGTAGTGAGTGAGCGTAACCTTACTGAGACACATATCCAGCATGCACCATTTCAAATCTCAAACCATTATCTGCTTGGTCACTTTAACCAGCACTTCAACAGAAACCAAACATTTCAGTCCCTCATAACTGATCAGTGGAAAGCGCAAAGCTAAATTAAAAATAGCAATGATATGTACATTATGTGTTTACTAATACTATGGATAGTCAGCTGATTTATGCTTGTACGTTTCGCTACTCAATATCCATCACTGTCATATTTTCTTTTCAGAAATACGGCCAATATGAAAATTTATAGGTTTAGATGATTTAAAAAAAGACACCTGAGTGAAATTAAAACTATTTATTGGACATATTTGATTGATTAAAAGCATAAACAAATGAAACCGCCACTCGAAGTTGTATTTATTTCGATGGAACAGGATATTTTGCAAAAATAAAAGTTGGGACAATTTGCCATTATTCAAGAACATTAGTATTTTGATTAGCATAACCTCTGAATGACCGATCTAAAAATATTGCATGCAGCAACAGTATTATGATAAATAAATCACCTTTCTGGAGTCCCTGAGCATAATAGAGAATAAAGGAAAGTTTGCGTCGCTAATTCCTATTTTTAAATAAGAAATAGTTCACCTACGGAAAATACGTTTTTGTGAAAAAGCAGAATAAAGGGGCATTGTTGATTTATGCTTAATAGGAACTGTGAGATCTAAAGAACATAGAAGATGGCATAATAAAATTGTGTACTTCGTTATCAGAAAGACGTTGGGAGACTTCTCTCTATCTCGTTTTAAGGCGTTGACATCAGCAAACGTCGCAGACCAAGCTTCTTTCGTCTGCCGATTACTTTAACTGCCTTCAGACTGTCAACAACAGGATCAGTGTCCAATAGACGGTGCGTATTGGCACTAATTTGATGCTAGTGAGCCGTTTTGTCCCACAATCATTGGTGTGTTTTCAGAAATGTGAAAGGACAGACATAAGGGTCACTGTCTACGGGCATTGCACGCGTAAAGAGACAATAGGGAATCGTGCATCGTCTAAGCGATAACAAAGTATGCAATTTCAATACGTCATCTTCTGTCTTGTTTAGAAAATCTTATTGTTTCAAATAAAGATGACTCACCCTATCACTTAATGGGGTAAAAATAACAAAAGTGACCAATTTCAAGAAATATGGTCTTCTTCAAACAAATCGTTACAAAATGTTTTAGAATCCTATCACCAATAACAACAAAATTTAAAGCCCTAAAGAAATACAAACTCATAAGATCGAGCTGAAATGGTATTTAATGATGAACTGTTAAATTGACTTTATATAAAACAACAAGTCAATTGAAAACAATCGGATAAACGAAGGCCTAATATTGGTCATTTGTCACTACTGATGGATCTGAGTATCGGGAAATCACGGATCAAGCCAGATTGGATGATTTGAAACGGTACAGCTTGTTGAGGGGTAAATAATTCACTTACCTCAGCAAATCTTGGAGTTTCAGTAGCTAAAGTTGCTGTTTTAGATACTAGGTGATGCCAATGATCCTCTAACCAATGTCAGCTCATGATTAAGTCCTGTAACCAATCAACCAAATACCTACAAACCAACACTTGAATATCGGTCTGATGCTCGCTAGTGAATGGCCATATTGAGGTAGGTATTTACCCGGATCTAGTGGAAAAGAGAAGGTCGGGTGTGAGGACAAATACTCACCTAAGACATTCGCTTGTGGTTGTGTCATATCATGAATTGGCAGACGTTGAAATTCATGGACTATGGGATCAAGTCCCAGTGGCTTAATGGTCTACGAGCTCACCTTATAACCAGAAGGTCGTGGGTTCAAACATCAGTGAATGCCTGATGCTGATGAGTCTCAGACTATGACGAAACAGCAGTCCAGTACTCCCAGGTTTCCTAATCGTCCTCTGACCGATGTCAGTTCATGATGACATCCTAGAACCAATTAAACTGCTTCATGCTAACACTTGAATACTAAGTAATACGATGAAAACATTTTGGCACTGTAGAAGATCAGTGGTCAACTATGGGAAAGGTTTGTGTTCAACTCCTGGAAGACACAGTGGAAATCTTTAGGGATTTGGTCTTTTAAACACTATTTGACACATGTTGTAATATCGGGTCACAAGATCGAATTTGATCGTGACACGTTTTACAAAAGTAATAACTAATACCTCATAGTAGAAGTGAGGCAGTTTATTAGGACAAAATTAACCAGAACTCAACACTATCAGTGTTATAGTGATTCGAACGCTAGCCTACCACGCATGTGGTCCAGACTTTGACTCGCGACTGACGCACACCTAATATCAATGGTCGGCATACTAAATTTGGCCTACCGCTAATACTAATTCACTCATTCATAATAACGAAATACAAAGGAACTATGATTAAGTTACTAAACACACGTACAGAGATTTTGTAAATTCTGGCCTACTCTTCTTTCGACCAGCCAGCTCAGTCGGTAGATCATCAGACTCTTAATCACAGGGCCATGAGTTTGCGTCGGTGGCACACCGGTAGAATGCTCGCCAACCACGCCTCATGTGGTCCAGAGTTCGGCCCTTGGATGACGCACTCCTAAACCTCACCGAGTCAGTAATAAGACTGGTAAAGAGAGAAGGTTGGGCATGAGGCTAGCAACCTCATCTCGTAAAATAAACACCACTGCTACCGAAACTTCAAGCCTGTATCTTGAATCCCTATGTTCCACTGGGGACAAAAACCCTCTAATGGCAATGAACATTATAGAGCATGGATAGTGAATATCAGTGGAATCCAGCATGTGAATTTCGTCCTGTTTGGCACTCCTCAACTGAATGCTACTGCTGTCATCACTGAGTGATGCTTCACCCACTAGGAATCGAACCTAGCACCCAGCATTTCAAAGGCGTAAACACTATCCACTATACAATTCACTAGTCAAACTGGCATTACTTTAATCATCAAGCAATCTGGAAGCCTCTATACTACGAGCAGGGATGTCAACGGAGATCAAGGGTTTAGATCCAACATTATCGAACAACGAAAAACGAAAAATTAAATAAAATAAGAATCTAAATCCACTTACCTACGGTTATGTAATAGTCAGGATTACTTAGTCTTAGTGTTGAATTTTCTGATATATCTTGACTGTTATTATTACCATTGATTTTGTGACAAGAGCGTTTATTATCATTTGACTGAGTTGAATGTTCCTCTACTTCTTCTTCTTCTTTGTGTATTGCTTTCATTGTACATGTATATACCCCACTGTCAGTTAACCTGGCATTTGTGATGCGAAGTCTCCATCTATCTGGTGGCTTATATTTTACACTGATTCTACTGTCTGGTATAAATCTTCGTTTACCAATTGTCAGGGGATACTCCATACCAATTTTATTCCATATTACCTACAAATTGATAAAAAGAAATAAACAAAATCGTCAGGAGTAGTTGACAAATATTTTATTCGAGTTGTGAGAGGCAAAACAAGAATTCAGAATACAGGTTTCGCCTCATTTTTGGCTCGTTAGCTGGATGAACATGATTGCTAATCAGTGATATTGTTCCCCATGAGACTAAAATCCAGCCCACACCATTTTAGACGTAAAAGTCTTAGTCGCTAGAGTAAGGCTACTAGTTTGTAGTAGCTACATGATGCAGTGAATGCACTTGACAGAAATGCTCTGCTTTCATTGACACGCCGACTTTAAACACTGTAACATGGGAACATCCAAAATGACAAAATTGTCTTTCTGGATATTATCAACCATTTTAGTAGTCATAGTATCAACAGATAGGTTAGTGAGCAGTTTTCAGACACCATAAAAATAGTTTTTCTTGACAGATTTTGAAAGTATTTTTAGTCTTCCTTACTCATTTCACATAATATCTGTTCATATCTGGTTATGTTTTGTTTATAAGCGTATTACTGAATATAAACATAAAGTGCGTATATGCCTGTTCGGTGCAAGATTACATGACTTCAAGCATAATCCCTGAAAAGACGCAGTGAATTAACTGTCAGCTGTAAAGGTGTGCTTCTGTTATAAATTATATGTAATAGATATTGGTGTTTACAGCTAAGATTGATTAGAACGTTTCCCCATAAGCTGACATCAGTTAGAGAACCGTTGGGCAACCTACCAGGGATTACTAGACGGCCCACTGTTTCGTCTTATTTTGAAAATCTTTGGCAGTACATACCTACTGCCTGGGTTCAAACCCAGGACCTTCTTATTTTTATTTATTTTTTTATTTTATTATAGCTTGATTCCACACCGTATTTTGGTACAAGTATGAAATTTTCAGCTTGTGATATCGGTAGCCCAAATTTTGCAGGCCGACCATAGATATCAGGTGTGCGTCGGCGGGGGATCGAACCTTGGACCATGTGCATGGTCGGCGAGATTCCTAACCGCTGTGCCACCGACGCACAAAGCCAACTCGTTGATCATTTAGCCACCCGGACCCGACTCAGTGGGCAGCCCATGAATTCTAAATTCTGCCGATTCGCGACATATCGTGGCTGCTAGCCAATGTCTTCGGCGAGTATTCGTCTTCACACTTGACCTGCTGTACCCTACTTGTCACAGCTTCAAACCAGACCCCAGGTAACTGTCTGAATAGGGCCAGTCATTGGTGAGCATCTGAACAATTTTCAAGTATTTGTTTTGTATGAATTTTTTGATTGGTTGGAGGATTTTATCATGAGATGACATCGAAGAAGACATTGCGAAGTGGTCGCGATATGCCATGAAGAGACAGAAGTTAGAATTCATGGACCAGCCATTGGATCTGGGCCCGGTAGCTTAATGGTCTAGGAGCTAGTTGGCCTTGTAACCAGAAGGTCCTGGGTTCGAAACCCGCTGCCACTGGGCGCATACCGATGGATAGTCCCAAACTAGGCTGACGAAACAGATGTCCAATACTTCCAGCTTGTTTTCCAATTGTTTTCTAACTGATGTCAGCTCATAGTGAATCCCTTCAACCAAAGAAACAATCCCTACAATACCAATACAGCTAAGGTTGTTTACTCATGAGCATTTGGCAGTCAACCGTTTTATTAAATTAATCAATATTCAGAATTAGACACATCTACCGCAGAAACCATAGTGACAGTTTCTTTGATTTATGAAGAGAATGCATCGCTTCAGGAGTACATTAATATTACACTCTGTTATCGGCTGTCACTCTCAAATAAACGGTTCTCCAACCGTCAACAATTCTTTATTTTCTGTTTATATGATCCACTCATTGTCATTTAAGGAGCCATATCCGACCAACAACTTCCCAGTCCACTCAACGCTCTTCCTAGACAGTACCGAAAACATTTATATTTCTGCATCCATATATATATATATATATAGGATGTTGAATAACTTGCTGTGTAGTTCTTTACCAGGGTTCGTAGTTGCTTACTTATAGTGGCCGGCTGTCTTGAATATCTACTGAAGGCAGGTGCTGAAGGACGTTTGCAGCAGTCTGTTGGAAATATTTTAGTCGACACACAGGCATATAAAGGCAAAGGAGTGCATCTGCCGGAGATCGAACCCCTAATCGCCTTCGTGGTTGGTGATAATTCTTGCTATAAGCCACCGATGATTTGTCCCAACTGTATCTTCTGTAAACTTGTGAATCTTTTACTTCCTGCTATTCGTGATAAATATTCTTTGCGAAGTCTAGTTCTCTGACTATCTCTCTGCCTCTACAGTACTATCCAGTACACCATAACCGAGAAAATCAATGGAAACAGTAACGCAACCTTATCCTACTTCCATACTCACCACCCCGGCTTCTCTGTGTTTTCCATTGTGAAGCACTTGTCATTTAGCATCATCATCATATAGCTTTTAACTGGTTTTGATAAAGGTTTTAGGCTCTGCAAAGTATTTAATTGTGCATTGTTGGCATGAAGGTAGAGTGCTCGCCGGTCACGCATGTGGTTCGGGATTTGATCCCCGGCCTACGCACTCCTTTACCTCGCTAAGCCCGTAACAAGGCTGGTAAAGATGGAAGGTTGAAAATGGGGCTAGCAACCTCATCCCGTAAAAATAAACGCCATTGCTACCGAAACTTCAAGGAATGTCCACAAGGAACCTTAAGGAATACATCTATTCAAAGTATTTCAGAACTTTTCAAATTATTTCACGACTGACACTATCGACAAGCTTTCCAAGTCAATGAAGTTTAGTTACAGAGTTAACTGTCATTCTAGACTCTCTTGATTATTGATGCATAACATGATAGACTGGAACTCCATAATCATATGAAGATAACCAGTGTCAGACAAAATTACTGTATCATGAAATGAGAAATTTTACGGTCAGTTAGAAACTGTCACTGGCATTATTCTTTTTTGAAATTTAATAAGTGATTGAATTTGATAGAAACGTTGCTCTGTCTCATAAACTGATCGCTTTTTATGTTTACACTTAAAAACTGGATCTGAAAATCAACTAGAAGTGCCATCAGTTTAACTGGTACAATGCAAGCAGTTTATCTGGGATATATATATGTATATATACTGACAGTTTAACCTCAGCATACCTCATGTAGATGTTTTGCTCTGGAGAAACAATTTAAAACAAGTGACAGTTTAAAGCTTTGAAATGAGTGCAAATAACGTTTCTATTTCTTTAGTTTTGAATTATTTGAGGAATTCATTTTCAAACAACTTTGTTTTTTTTTTTGTTACATTCCCTTGTTACATCCTTTTCTCTATTTCACCTTACGAGAGAGAAAAGGTCAGTGCATTGACCTGTAAAATTAAAATCTAAAATATTTTACTGGCAATGATAGTGACAACAAATATATACAGATAAGGAATAATTTGAGGAATTGTACTCTATCGAAATGGCAGAACAATTTCAAACTATCATCTAATGCTTTTGAATGGACGCTAGTCAGTAACTAGTGTATTGTTTTTAGTCCTTTGTTTGGTGCAGACTGAATTCTATCAGTAAGTCAAGTTTGCAATGTGTCCGCCGTGCACTATGACTTGTTAGTATTAGATGGTTTGGGCAATTAGTCATTGGCAGCCTTTTACCTAGGTTTAGTGCAAGTTGGCATTCGTCAACAAGGCGCTTCTGCAACGCGACTGACAGAATTCAGTCTACACCAAACAAATGATTAGACACATCACACTGGTAACCGATTAATGCCCAGTCAGAAGTATCCAATTCAGTCCCACCAGAGGAGGTCAGTCGCCAACCGGAATAGCTCAGTGGCAACATTTCTGACTGCAGTACTCACTGGGTGACAAGGGGTTTGAATTTCAGAAAAGACAAGAGTTCCTTCAAGGCTGCAGATATGCCTTGCTGACTGGTGAGTGCCGACTAGCGTGAAACATAGGTCCAAGGCCTCCTACCGATTGCTTGCAACCATCTAATACCATCTAATCCGTTGGCGTTTAAATGGCAGAATACTCTTCAACCATGCACAGCTCGACTTCCTACTAGCGTGCTACTTAACCTCACTTACTTTGTACAAGAAAGAAGACTAAGTTCAAGGCTGGCAACTCGGCTCTGTAAAATAGACATTACGTCTGCTGAAACCTCAATAGCTTGAAGCCTTATGTTTCACTTACAATTCTAATGAATAAAAAAACCTCTTCTTGTGAAGAAATTGTTAACTATCAAATTAGATGTGAGTTGTGTAGACTATGTAGTATGCTCTAACATTATACACAATTGCTATATTTAAAGAGATAATCTACAGTATTTATGATTTTATCCCGTCAGATAGGCGGCTTGTAACAATATGCAGTGATGAATTGCACTAGAAATGGATACCCAGAGAATTTGTTCGCCTATCGAATAATCTTATTTGATAAAACGCAGTACTTCATTATTATTATCATTAAAACATAAGACTTATGCGTTATGGAAGTCAGGAGATACGCCACTCAGCATCTTATAGTTTCCGCGTAACTACCTGGATGATCAGACCTAACCAAGTTATTGTCTTATGAGCACTTGACTTGAAATATGCTCCCAAGGCAGTAAAGTAACGCCAGGAGCTGAGTTCCTGTTATTGCCAGTGACCAAAGCAGGTTCTTATGCCTTTCGACCTGTTGGGATTTCGGAGCCCTTACATACTAAAAGTTTTCAGCCAGCGTTTTCTAGCTCCACTGTGTAGACAAGCATGTCCAACAGTCAGGTCCTTTTTTTGTGTTCACCTTTCTCCCATTTTGTGACGAATAAACCCTCCGCATAAAGGCAGTGAGTAGCACTTATCTGGAAGAGACTAGCAACATAACAGCACTTCAACACGAGGACTGATGTCTACCCACTATTGCCCAGGTCGTTAATCAGACCGATATATACAGAGTGACGAGATGTTGTTCAATAATGACCTTATGGAGATCAATTTATTCTATATAAGGTAACCATTTACCTTCCAGAGATTGTTTAAATGCTTCCATTATTTCTTATCCTTCAGTTTATTTGGGAGTACTAACTCTGCAACCAGTGTTGTGACAGCTCCACTGCACATATCGGGAGTAGATTCTATTAAAGACGGTTTACTGATCAAACCTTCCTACTACCTGTCTATACTGCTAATTAGAAGTGCATCTCTGTTCTACCTTATCCTGGGATTGTGAGTTAATTTATGCATCGCGATCAAAACGATAATTTCTGTCTTTTATTATCTCAATAGGGTACCTAATCAGGTTAACCTCAATCGAGCCTGATCAACATAACATATGGAGCACATTATTTTACCGCATATCATGAATATGAACTTACCACATATGGTCCATCAGGTATAATACAACGCATACGAATAGTTTCACCGACGAAATATTTTAAAAATCGTAAATTTGTATTAGAATCCAAATTGATATCAACTTTTTGCTTTGTTAAATTGGTTAAAGATGATGCATGGACTGATAAATCAAAGTGTTCAGCTGTACTTTCAGTGTGTGGATTATCCTCTTCTAAGGTGCTGTTATCCCATTCTTCCATTTCTACGTCAGAATAACTGAAAGAATTTTCATCAGAATCTAAAAACAAAAGACAAATGACACAAATGCATACTTAGTGAACTCTTGCAGACATTAGAACAACTATGAAAATCTCCAAATTTTGGATCCACTCCTTATCCTCAAGAATAAGAAGGATATATCGCTACCAGTGATACAATCAACGAGGAACTAGAGCGAATCAAACAAGTTATCATAGAAAATGGATATCCACCAAGATTCATCGAGAAAAATATGAAATTAAAGGAAAAGCCTGAAAGAACCAAGACGGTGCCGAAGAAACTGCTATTTATGAAGGTGAAATATAAAGGTTACACGGCAGCTGAGATCCTGAAGAACTGTTTAAACAGAACAATGAGAAAAGGCTTGTTTTCGGCTGAGCTACAGATTAATTTCTACAGCTGACAAATGATTAATGGATGTGTGAAGAATAAACTACCATTTTAGGCCACTTTAATGTGTATTTATAAATATATTGACCGCACAAAGTGCATACGTTTAAAACGCATCTCTGAACATTATCTGGCATGGTTAGCAAAAGGACAATGCAAGACAGTAACTAGCTCAATTCTCTAGCATTTGGTGAAGTCAAGCCACACGGCTCCACCAGAGTTGTCTTTCATGAATATTCACAAAGTGGGGCCAAACGGTACAAAAGGCATCAGGTTTCGGCATTTGGGTATGTCGGAAATGTTGGCAGTTCGTTAATACAACCCCGAACTCTGCATACAGAGAAAGTTTGTCTAGTAGCTTATTCTAACATGGTCTTAACCTCTTCATTAGTCGTTCCTTGCAAAGAAGATTTTATGTTTTATTTTACTTTTAGTTTGCTTTTACTTTAATAACTAATTCACTATTATCACTCTCATATGATCGTTTTGTACATTTTCACACCCTCTTCATACTTGTTAAATGGACACTAAACTACCTTTCTTCTCACTACTCAATTACAATTTTAACCTCATCAAATTTCTAACGCTTTCTTCACTTTTGCCGTTGAGTACTACGCAATTTACAACTTTTATGTTAACTTCTAAAGCCACTTCCGAGATATTATATCAATTATGTCACCCTCCATATTACTCAATAATAGACTACTATACATTTTTGGTAAATATAAATACGACTGTATGGCCTTCACTGAATTATCTTTTAATTTTGAATTTTAGGAAACTTCGATTAATTTCATTGTAGTCTTCATCACTAATGGACGTTATGAAGGGATTCTTTAGAAAACAAACAGTAGTGAAAAGCTGTTTCGTCTTAATCTTATACTCATCATCGGTGTGCACCCAGGATGAGTTCACTTCACAAAATAGAACGAGAAAAAATGTTAAACGTTTAGAGATGTCATGTGATAACCACATTCAAGTACTTTTTATCACAGTTACTTCATGTTTAGGATTATTCGCATATTTTTTCAGAATGAGACGGTATTCATTAGTATGTGAATAGTAGAAAAGACCTAGGGGCAATATTTTTTTCTCATTAATTCTACATTCAAAAAAGCCAATAATCACGACGATGTAGTCATTAAAATTATGTCTATGACTTTTTGTATTGCATTATCTCGTGTTCATGATTAGGAGTTATGTTCCAATTCAGGGAAATTTATCCTTAAATTTTAAGCGTCATAACTTCTGTATGTGAACTGAATTTATGGAGAATATACATTAGACTACGAAAATGAAGCGAAATCTAGCCATTAATTATAAATATTTGAAAACGTATGCCAACAGTTGTCAAAATTTACTTTCACTAGAAATTATCGTGAATAAAGAATTTTCACACGGACGGATTTGATGCATTTCATTCTGGTAAAATAATCGTTCATAAGTCACATGTTCGGGTTGAAATGTGACGAGTTATTGTGAAATAGAATGCCTACGTTTTGTCTTTCAAAAAGAGGACTAGGAACTATCAGTTGATCCATTCTGCTTACATATTTAATTGAATTTTAGATTTTCCCGTAGATTGATTGAACCGAAGTGCTCAGTCTCAGGTTGACATGTCGGCTTCTTGTGCAGATACTTCGATGATGTCTGGGCAGGTAATGAGAATTTAATTGGTGGTTGGTGACTAGCAGTGGAATCCAGGATGCTCATTTAGTCCTATTTGAGATTCGACAGCTGAATGTAACTGCATTCCACAGTGGGAGATAGTGTTCCCACCGAAGCTCGAACCCAGTGCCCATAGTTTCAAACACCACAGTGTTATCCACTAGACCACTTCGGCAACCAGAGACACCTCTTGTGCAACAGGTTATATTAATTATTTAATTCAATTCAGCGCTTTGGCCTCGGTAGGAACATCATCACTCACTGAGAAATGCAGGTACATCCATCTATGGAGTCCCGAATAGGACGAAATGCGCATCCTGGATTATGCTGCTAGTCACCATCCACCAATTAAATTCCTACTCTGCTTAGATTTTCAATTCACATCAGAGAGTAGTTTGATAGACGGTCATTTCACGAGGTCAGGTGGCTGAAGGAAGCTGGTAAGAATCTAACGACCTAGATTTCATGCTTACTGGATCTCATCAGCAAGTGCTGCTGTAGTCATACACTTTATCCATGAGGTACTCATACCCACGAGTAATTTCCAGAAGGAATGTGATGTATTGTGATGCAAGGTAGCCAACATCGTGCATCTAGTCCTTACACTTATCCCATTCTTGACCAGTACATTCCTTAACTTCACTTAGCTGGCAGTAAGACCAGAAAGAAAGCAACAGTGGCTTGAAACTGTAAACTTAACGACGTATTAAACAGCACCTTTGCTACCAAAGCTTTGAAAGCTTAAAGTTCTAAGGTCTACACAGAATGCATAAAACGATCATACCGCATACTTTATCAACCGATCTTAGTCGGAAGCTAGGGCAAGAAAACATAATTATTTTTCGGTTACAATGTGCCTTCGCTTTCATCGTCCACTTAAATTTAATAAACTTCAGATGACAAGTTGTCAGTTCTGAAATATGCTCACAAAATCCTGAGATTAATATTGATCGGAGAAGAAATGAATAAATTCATCTCACCACTACTTTTGTAGATATTTCTGCTTATAAAACTGGTTTAAAATGGTTTAAATTTGACAAATAATAGTACAACTAGTGTGTTTGCAATCAAAAATAAACTGTGTCTAAGGTTATGCGTTCCGTTGTCAGGCATTTTAGAGTATATTTGGTATCAGAATCGATAAAAACTATCCCTAGACTCGTCAGCAGGACTGTCAGGCGGGCTAGGTGAATTAAATTAGGCTGATGAACCAATTATTTCCCATTTAAAAACCAGTAAAACTGCTTTTACGACTTATAATGAAGGTTAATATTCTTTTGGTAATTCTATTGTTAACTGGTTAAAAGTGCCTTCTACGATTTTTCAGAAGAATGGTTACTGAACAAAGAATATTCTTCTCGATAACCTGCTCTTCATCAGCTTCTACAGTTATATATACACAACAGTAGTGAATGAATTAGTGTTATTAACAACATTAATGTTGTTTAAATAACATCGAATCAATAATAATAATATCAGTGGATTCGAAAGTTCGACAGCATCAACATAACACTGCACACTGTATATCAGACAGGCAAATCAGAAAAGATAATAATAAGTTCATGAATCCACAGTCTCCACCGCAAGGCCAGCACTTACACTCACCTAGATTCTTATGTTCCGATAACTTAATTCAGTCTACTGGGATGATCTGTGTAGTCAACCTCACAGTCACTACATGGTATTTTGTAGATTACATTATTTTGTCTAATTGGATTAATAGATCATTTTAGCCTTAAGAGCTTGTCCCTTAGAACTGATTTGTATGCGCAAGAAAGACTATACGAATATAACTGAATCCCTGTGCTTACAATTTTCCTAACAATAAGTATATTACCGCATTAGTTTCTCGCTTTTCATTAAATATGTTGAGTGTATTACTTATGAGTAAAAATACAAGTAGTTTATCGCCTGAGATCTTCGAAAAAGTAATGATAATTTGTGTATTATTGAAAAATCCAGAAGAGAAGAAACGCTTAGAGGGCCTGAAAACATTTGGGGAGAATTCAGTGAAAATGCAGACAAGGATGATATTATTTGAATAAAGCAAGACCAACAGTTCGTACAGAATAAGGATGGTATCATCATTTACTTCGTTGGCTTCTCACCAGCTGCACACAGCCTTAGGAAATTATTAAGTTTATGTACAGAACAATTTTCAAATACTTGCAAATATTACTTGGTGTCAGCTGACATAAGACACAAACTTAATAAACGGTGTCCAAAATGTCGACAGATACCATTCTCATTTTTACTCTGTGTATATAAATGTACATGAATCTGCTGGAGCAGTTACAGTGGGATAACAGAAAGGAGGGAATACCTCTGACTTTGTGAACATGTATCAAAAACGCAAAGTCTCAAGAAAACAAATGCAGGCAGCGGTGGCATTGCCAGACACCTCATCAATACAAGTTATGATGTGGACATTGCGAATTCCTTTCCATTTATCGATCGACAAAATAGTTCTTATTGTTTGCCGAAGCAGTCGGTATCAAATGCTTGAAACCCAATTTATGGGTTCAGAAAGAAGTTGTTGTCAGTCTTTCCTTGTCCTGGCAGGTGGATTTCTTTATTCTCTTTTTTATTTCATTACTTAATCTTTGGCTCTAGTTTCTGCCTACTTTGATATAACGCTACTCTACTTGTCTCTTGTTACGATGATTTGAGTCGAACTTGCCACACTGTTACTCAGGTCATTATTTGTGTATCATCTTATCCACCACTTGTCTCTACGA